GTTGCCACAGCAGGGCAAAGAAGAGTGTTAAAAGTGTCAAAGAATTGCCTGGGATTGCTGAGCATGAACTAATGAGAGAGGAAAAGTATGACTGTTTGGCGAGGGCAAGGGCTGCGCTGTATGAACACAATATGAATCTATAATGGAGAAAGTCTGACTTCCTCCAGGAGAGTCCAGCACTACGGGAGCAACTTTGCAGGTAGCGTGTTAATTTAGTATGCCACAGTTGGGGGTGTGTCCTCCTCAAGGTCCATGTTTGGAGCGGGGCTGCAGTGTTCAGGGCCGAGGTGAAGGTAGTGTTATAGTGCCAGCTGCTGGAGGTCAGTATCATTAAGGTTCCTCCTGAGTTGAGGGTGGGTAGGCTGAGGTTGTTGGGTGAGTGAGTGAGATAAGAGGTGGTGATCAGAGAGAGGAAATGTAGAGTTGCAGATATTAGATACTGTACATGCATAACAGAAAATGAGGTTGAGGGTATTGCCAGCTACATGGGTGGGAGAATTAGCCCACTGCGATAGCCCGATGGAGGAAGTAATTGAAAGTAGTTTAGAGACTGCTGAGGTCAAAGGTGGGTTAATGGAATATTGAAGTCCCCGAGAATTAGGGATGGAATATTAGAAGAGATGAAGTAGGATAGCCAGGCAGCAAAGTGGTCAAGGAAGAGGATAGGTGAACCAGGGGGATGATAAATAATGGCAATATTAGCAGAAAATGTTTTGAAAAGGTGAATTTAATGAATTTCAAATGATGGGAAAGAGAGGGAAGGTGGGTTTGCAAAGTTTTAAAGGAGCAGTGGGGTTATTTACCTTAATGTATTAACATTGGTGCTGTTTATTAACCCGAATTGGTATATTCTGTTTTAATTAATTATTTTTGTTTTTTTTCTATGAGTTAGCATTCTGAAATGATTAGTTAGCACTGGGAACAGAATTGCTCAGTAAAACCCTTTTTTTTCTGCCAATAATCATTCTGACATACTATGTAGCTCTTTGCAGGATCAATATCAAAGGAAAATGTAATTAAAACACTTATTGCCTGCCTGTGGTCTAAGCTAGCCCTGACTAAGTGCTCCCTATCCTCATTCCAACTAGTAAAAAATATATTTATTGGAGGCCTTTATGATACCCATTTATATAATATTGACCCATGATAGGACCTTATTGTTTAAATGGGTATCCATTAATTAATTCATTTTGGCTTGTGGTCCCCTCGTCCTCTGTGGGAGGGAATGTTTAAGCTTTTACTAACCGGGTAAGGATGCAGTGATTAAGCCTTATCTCATATTTCTAGTCCATATGTATTGAGATGAGAGGATATAAGATATATGATAGGAAAGAGAATTCCCACAATGAGTGAACAAGAGGATGCCAGGTCCTCTTCTACACAGTGGAAAGAAAACTACAAGCCACCTTCTTTGTATATGTATAACTGAAGATCTCTTTTCCCTTGACAGATATCACTGTTAGCATCAAGGGTATCCCTGCTATGCCTGGGGCATGTTGGCAAACTTTGCCTTTAACGTCTGGGTAAAGGGAACAGGGTATACTATATATATATATATATATATATATATATATATATATATAAAACGTATTATAAGCAGCCATTGGAGACAACTTATGAAAGGGACACTCCAGACCCCTAAAGCACTTTAGCTAGCTGAAAAGTGTTATGCAAAAAGAGTGTGTGCTATTTTTTTATTTCCTTTTGGAAATAGTGTAGATTTCCATAGAAATTTACACTTTTATAAATTATACTGGTTACACTCCCCTGGCTTTCAATCAGACAACAAGTTCTGTAATTTCCTGGTTTGGTTAGCTTCTTTGCAGTGAACTCAAGAGGCAGTAATTGCCAAGAACACCTGCCTTGCAAAGACTTCTCATTGAGCTGCATTAGGAAGTCTGTGATTGGACAGTCAGATAAAGTCTGGGTGAGGTTAGAAGGAGATGGTTGTAAAGGCAACAGAAAATCGCTCTGCAGGCTTCGCAAGCTCTTTTTAGAAAAAATGCATCATTAATTGCATGCTAGTTTTCATTTGGGTTATATCTACTAAACAGTGATTTGTATCTATTTTGCATTTGGGCAGTGGAGTGTCCCATTAAAGCAGGGTGGCTAACTGACTTTAGTTCCCACAAAGTCAAGTTTACCTAATATAAGACAGAGTAGAAAGGAATTAGATAAAAATTGCATTGTAATGACTGGTGACACCATCTGCCATCTCTAAACTAATTGAATGTACAGTAATAGTAATAAAGAAAAATCTTTACAAGTATACAAGTTTACGAATAGAAAGGAAAACTTGAGATAACACAATTTACCTATTTTTCAATGCCACATTTAGCTGATACTGAGTCATAGAAAGCACCTTCTCTGAAAAATGTAACTTCACATACTATGATGTTGGACTGGTGGTGATTATATCTGTTTTAGCTAACACATCATAAGACCCACACAGAGCACTGTACTCTGAGTATATTCACCCATCATGACTTGAAGAGCAGGAGCAGTAATGATGAGGTGATATACCTCAATTGAGTCTCCCTCTCTCCCAGTGCTTAAACTCATTTTCTTTTCTCTGTAAACTAGAATGATTTAAAGTTGCATGGCTAAGCACATATTTAGTTACTGTTTACATGTATAAACATGTTGGTATTACTTGTATATGTTGTCTGAGCTGTTTGCGATATTGTGTATGGGGGGCTATTTGCAGAATTGGGTATATGTGGGCTGTTTATCGTGCTGTGTATGTACAGTTTAAGGTGGAGATGATTTTGGGTGTTTTTGTTTTGTTTTTTATACAATAAATATAGCTTTAATGAAAGTTTTTAATTCCACACTCCATCTTGCCTACTTCTTCCCAGCGAGAGGGAAAAATCTTTATTAATCCCTGGTCTGGTGTGTGGATCTTGAAGACTGCACATTCTAAAGTGCCTTTGTCTCCATTCAAGTGCTTTTCCAGTGAGACAGAGAAGACACATTGGAGTTTGAGGGATGTTTACCTGTGTTAGCTGCACTCACTGGAGGTGAACACCACAGTCTACCACATTCCAGCTAGAGGGGTTGGTGTCAAATTCCATGAGCGGCTTATCCCAATCCTAATGTTTTCAGTAATATCAGGACATTGTTCTTCATACTTCTGCTTTGGTTTTCATTAGTAGGATTATTATTATTCTTTTACAATATTGATAAAGGGCCAACACATTACACTACACTGCCCATGGGTAAAATTGGTACAAGTAAAAAGACAAATGTACAATACAATATTTGACAAATGAACACAGGAGGAGGTGAGGGCCCTATTCCATTAGAAAATTACGATCTAAAGATGACCTATGTTGAGGTTTTAGACAAGAACTAATTTTTATTAATATGTACTGTGTAAATAAAGATTACTTGCATTATTTTGGATACAATTTCAAATTGCTCCCTGTAGTAGCCCAATTTGTCCAGGATTTATCAGTGATTCGCTCCCTTGTGATTATGTAGCAGAATAGGTTGATTGTCTATTTATTTGTTCTTTCTTGATGATTTAAGATTTATTAAAGTTACATATACTGTATATATAAGCTAATTTTCAAATCTTTCAAATTATAAAAGTAACATTTTGATATTTTAATATTTTTAGATACACGCTGAAAATGAAGAAATGCCAAACAACAGACATCTATTTCTATCTGTAACAAAACAAGATTGTTTCTAGATGGACAAATCTTTTTGCAGTACATTTGTTTGTTTAGCAAGACACAGGTAGCACTAGATGGAAAACAGCATGAACTGCCTCTTTTAGTGCCATACATTATAATTATCTTCTTGTGGAACCAGTCACGGATTTCAAACTACTGATCCCTAGCAGAGGTCATTACTGCTATAACTTTGATGTGCATGACTGTGAACTAGCACAATTAGTGAAGTCAGATTGCCCTCTTCAACATTCAAGCTCTTCTGTATGCAAGAACCTTTACTAACCTTGACTCCATAGGGAGCCCATGTTCTAGTCTGCCTTTCATGTCATACTGCAAGTTTCTTATTTTGCAACCGTTTCTTTAGCATGATGGGATGTTGTAAAACCAAAGAGGTCAATTTAGATAAATGGTATGAAATGAAGAAATCAAATAAGTTAATTGTGTTGCATACAATGATGTAAGCAGTCAGAATATTAGGTCAAAGATAACATTTTAAAAACAGCATATCAATAAATTTGAATAAAACAGATAATGCTGACAGTTAAAGGAACACAAACATAAATATATTACCGTTGAAAGTTACATATTGTGTTTAGATAACATTGTTATGCAGAAACAGGCATTTGGACAATTTCTGCATCATCATGCAATGACAATGAAAATGAAGATCCTTGAGAAAAAAAGGTTTTTTTTTAATGAGGAGGAACCTCTAGTGAGTGCCAATAAAACAACCACTAGGTAAGCTAAGCAAATCATAAATATTCCACTTTTCTGAAACAGCAATACTTACATAGGCTGAAAAGAGATTTGCGTCCATCAAGCTCTTTCTGAAATCTGTTTTTGCTGTTGATCCAAAAGGAGGCAAAAAAACAGTTTGAAGTGCTTTTCAATTTTATGGCAGGACAGGAGGCTTCATATTTGCTTTACCTTCTTTACTGAAACCTCCAGCAGCAAAGAAACAGTTAACAGAACTTTTCAAAACAACCAATCAGAACAAAGCAACAGTAGTATAAAACCCCTAAGCAGGCTCTTCCACTTCCTCTTTCTTTGCTGCTGCCTCCAGGTGAGCACTCACCAACTCAGAGTTGTCTCTGCTCTTGGTTGTTGTTTTATCCTACATGCTGCTTGTTTATTTAAACTGCCTATTTAATCAGTCTATTTGCTAAGTTTGTTTAGGCAGCTTAATTGCTGGTTTTATTTAGGCAGGGTTCTTGCTAGTTTTATTTAGGCAGTCTATTGCTGTGTTTAGCTAGGCAGTCTATTGCTGGGTTTATCTAGGCAGTCTATTGCTGGGTTTAGCTAGGCAGTCTATTGCTGTGTTTAGCTAGGCAGTTTATTTTGTGTTATTTCCTATACCACTTCATGCTATGTAGCTGCTGTATCACTTGTTAACATCTGTTGCTGTATTGAGGCTATTTATCTGATAGATTCTGTATACTGCTCATTGATTTATTGTTATTCTGGGTTACTTTATTCTGTTTTCTCACTCTGCTGTATGGGGAATGGGTGCCCCTGCTATGATGCTTTGGCTCTGCCTGTAATCTGTTCCCCCTCCCCTCGCCGGGTTCCCCTGCTGGGCTCTGTCGCTCATACCCTTCTCCCTTATTCCCCACCTGCTCCCCGTGGCCCCTGGCCGCTTGCAGTGCCGCACGATCACCACGCGGTAGGCCGCGCTCTGTTTTTTCAGCCACGGCAGCCATTTTGTTGGAGCCGTGGCGGCCATTTTTCAGAGCCACATGGACTCTGTGCGTTGCGAACAGCCAGGTCTCACCCAAGAACTGGCCTGCTGGCCATGTGGCCACCCTCCTCTCTCCCTATATCAAGGGAGATAGCCCAGTTTTTCAGCTATCCCTCTACTTACTGTGCCTGTCTCACATGCTGCATATGTAACAGATCCTGGATAGCAGGATCTGTCCCAGGCACGCTCACAACTGCAGCTTACTATGTCTGATGCAATGTGACTAGGTTCTCTATTTTAGCAGTAGACTTTTCACACTTTTTTACTATTACATGTGAATCTCAGATTTAAAGGGACATGTTACTGCTCAAATATAAATCTTTGTTTAACAAGAATGTGCCACATGTGTTATATGCTAATCAAGTCTTCCTCTAAGGTTCAGTCTTTTTCTCATAAAAATTAAATGGCCTGTTTTTCAGCACCTAGCTCCCCTGCCTAGGATTTGCTGCCCTTCCTGCAAGGGACTTAAATTTTCCACTACACATACACTTCAAAAGTGTATCCTAATATAATACCTGAGTGGTCTGTGAGTCAGCTTCTCGCTATATGGACCCTCCTACCCCTCAGCAGGGCTACTGGCCCCACATTCAGACCTGTTATTACTGGGGGGTGAACCCCCCCATCCATATTTCTGGGGCTCTACCTACTACTGGTCCATAATAATGGACGTGTGGCACCATTGTGGGCTGGGTGACCCCCTCCCTCTGGCAACATGGCTACCTATGAGTACCCTGCCGGCTCTACAGCGTCCTGTAAGATTAATGCTGAGGGTGACCCCCTCCTGCTTCCTATACTAATGCTCCGGCAATGTCCTACTATTATCATACCGAGGGGGTACCCCTCCTGCAGTCTGCACTGCTGGACCTGCAGCGTCCGGGTATTCCCATAAAAGAAGGTACCCCTCCCACTGATTGAGCTTCTGTTCTTACAGTGCCCTGCAATACGCAGATACTGAGGGTGACCCCCTCCTTGGACTACTCTGCTGGACCTACAGGGTCCTGTTATAACCATAATGAGGGTGACCCCCCCTCGCTGACTACACTGCTGGGTGTACAGACCTCTATGATACCACACTGAGGGTGACCCCCTCTTACCTACAGCACTGCTGGATCTGCAATGCCCGGTTCTGGTTATATGAGGGTGACCCCCTCCTGCCGTCTACACTGCTGGACCGGCAATGTTTGGTTACTTTATTATACAGCTAACCACTTCGGCACTACTGTACCTACAGTGTCCGATTATGTTCAGACTGAGGGTGACCCCCTCCCCTGCTGGCCTAAACTGCATGGTATGCTTGTGCTTGTTGGGTGACCCCCTCTTGCACGCTGGGTGACCCCCAGCTGGCCGCACCACTGTACCTACAGTGTCCGATTATGTTCAGACTGAGGGTGACCCCCTCCCCTGCTGGCCTAAACTGCTTGGTATGCTTGTGCTTGTTGGGTGACCCCCTCTTGCACGCTGGGTGACCCCCAGCTGGCCGCACCACTGTACCTACAGTGTCCGATTATGTTCAGACTGAGGGTGACCCCCTCCCCTGCTGGCCTATACTGCATGGTATGCTTGTGCTTGTTGGGTGACCCCCTCTTGCACACTGGGTGACCCCCAGCTGGCCGCACCAGGTATCATTTGTGCAATCACGGCTGAAGGACAAATCTCCCGTAGCCAGAAGGTCACTTGGCCTGTCCTCTTGCCGGCCGCTGACCTCACTGCCAGAAACCATCGGTGCCCTACGGGGACACTCCACCGGCCATCCTAGACGCTACACCAAGCACCCCTGGTACTCGTTGGCTAACGGATGGATTCATCAAGAGGATCAGTCTTCATGACGGAGTCCGGAAAGGACACCGCAAACACCTGACACGGGGTTTGCACTCTATCTGGGACTAACCAGTGGATGTCGGTGACATGCAGACACAGATGTTTCCTTGGGACTAACGGCACATTACCGCTTGGAAAGCGGAGAAGACTAAATTTCCACTGGGAATGGACCGATATGACTTATAGGTATCGCCTAGTTGGTTTCTACCCCTGAGAACCGCAAAACGGCCCCTGTCCAAGCTGGACATCAAACTGATGGATTTAGCATCCAAGTGCTGGGTCTGCTCTCCGGAGTTACCCTCGTGTACAAATTGAGCCGACATGTCTCTATTACATAGAAACATAGAAACATAGAATGTGACGGCAGATAAGAACCATTCGGCCCATCTAGTCTGCCCAATTTTCTAAATACTTTCATTAGTCCCTAGTCTTATCTTATAGTTAGGATAGCCTTATGCCTATCCCACGCATGCTTAAACTCCTTTACTGTGTTAAAAATACATCCGGTGTTTCACGTGGCACTGCTTAAACCTTTTCATGAAAATACTTTCCCTGGTCGAGCCTTGCCTGCCCCACCACCAGTCCTCGTGGATGGTGAAGATGAATACGAGGTGGAAAAAATTCTTGACTCCAGGATCTTCCGCAACAAGCTTCAATATTTGGTTCATTGGAAAGGCTATGGTGAGGAGGATAGATCATGGGAACCAGTGGACAATATTCATGCTCCTGATCTTCTTCAGTCTTTCCATGCACAGTACCCTGCTAAACCAGGAAATAGGGCATCCAGAGGCTGCGCCTGTAGAGGTGGAGGTAATGTGAGGAACTGACTCTGCTGGGTTTCGAACCCTGGTTTACATGGTGCTAAACCTCTTCCTTACCAGTATACCAGCCTGCCTTTATTCATAGGGTTCCCCCTTAACTAGCCCCAGAGGTCTCTCTGGCCGTGCCCGGACTCCAGATCAAGGTTGCGGAACCTTGGACCGTTCCATGAGCGATACGCATGACCAAAAGAGGCATCCATTCCGACTCATTCCGCAGTTGCCCTGCTGGGCAAAGGGTGCGGTGGAGTGGACTCCCGCCCCATCCCCACGCTACATGCTCCCAGTGCATGTCGTCTGTTGACACATTTTGAGACGGAGGGCACTCATCCCCTCTGAGAGCTGCTCGGCGTTGACGATTGGTTCTCTCCCTCAAATGCACATGAGAGAAACCCGCATGGATTTTGCCATCAACATGGACATATTGAATCTGACTCACTCCAAGTCAACCCAGTTTCCGGTCTTTCATGGAATATTCGGTCCAGGCGGTGCCCCGCCTCCCGAGGACCAAGATGTCCGTCTTCAAGGAAAATACCAGGTATATGCTTCACAACCTGCGGGTTACACTTAGGGGCCCAACCCGGTTAATTGACTGGTGCCTATTCGCCATGGAAGCCATACCTCAAGGATCCGGTACTATCAGCCGCTCCAACATGGCGCTTTCTCGGGTCTTTGGCCTGGTATGACCAAATCATGTGACCTTCGGATGAAGCTCATCTAAGACTTAATTGATGACTCCGGAGGAGGGACTCCTTTACGCCAACTGCATGGAACTACCTGCAGGTTTGTTCAACATTCACAGTATTGCTCGCTACCTTCCGGCATGGACTTCTCACCGGTTGCCCACTACGGACTGCAGTCGGATCTCACATAGGATCGCTATCTATAGCTTCTGGACAAGTATTCGTCATTTGTGACAGAATGTATGCGGGACGAGACACTTGTGTGGCGGACGGCTTCACCCGGCCATGGAGAGACCCCAATGATTGGTTGCCTCACCCTCCAGGGTCTCGAGTACTGGCATGATTACATTCGGTGCGAACCGCCATATGGAGCGGTTCTCCAACTGGCTGCCGGACCCTCAGCGAGGCGAGGGACGAGTTTTCCAAGCTTGGTCTCCTTCGGGGCGTACGCATCCCGTTTACCTACAGGATACTTTGGGTTTTGCTTCAGACCGAATTCCTGGAAGTGTCGTTTCGCCTGGCCAAACCACTTCGGAGGAGTCCTGCGTGCTTTCCCCTTTTTGCTGGAGTTTGCCATGGGAAGGCAATCTACGACTCCCTGTCTCTTAATGTCCCACTTGGGATCCACAGGGGTAGCCTGCCACGACTTGTGTTTGGGTCCCAATGGCGGTCCTTATCATGGCTGTCCCCATTGTCTGGCTGAGTTGCCCTCTCAGGGTAGGATCGTATGGGGCCATTCACGTCCTATGTCAGCTAGTGGACGACTCATGTGCGTTTTCTCAAGATTCTGGCATTGCTAAGGATCTCTTGGTCTGCAGTCTACCAAGAGGAGTATACCGTACGGGAGCCCTATCTCTCGCCAGTTTTTTCCGCTTACGGTTTCCCCCCAGTACATCTTGTATTTCATCGCGTTCTGACGTCATGGTATCGACGTGTCTTCTTCCTTCTTGCCGTTCAGTACATCGGCTTCTGCACAACACATATTTCATTTTTATTCGTCCTCTGTGTCGTACCCCTATTCTCCGGATAGGCCACAGCTCTGTTGACAGATTGTACACGACCATGTAGATCCAGGATCTGGTTCTTTCGTCCGTCTACTCATGGACAGCTGTTTATTTCTGCGTACGGCCGTTTTGGACTGTTTCTGCATCTTCGCTCGCCCGTTGGATTTGGTGGATCCTCTCATTGACTGACCTTGAGTTCCTCTGGGACACTTTTGGTTCGGGGTGCTGTCACCTCAACAATTTTGGAAGCCGTTGGGTCCCTTCTGCATTTTCTCTACACCGCTGCTTGGTTTAGGGAATCAGTTTTTCCATTCTCCTTTATTTCAGTCCTCTATCTCATATTGCTTCTGGTTCTACTATTTGGGCGTTAAAATTGCAAATATGAAGCCTCCTGTCCTGCCATAAAATTAGGGATTATTCTAGCCTCGGTGAGGGAATAATCTAAATTTTATTAAAGACAGGAGGCGAATATTTCCCCCCCTTTTTTACGTTCCCTCCCTGGATCTGGGTTTTATTCTATTATAAATAATTGGGGATATTGTTATGTTTTGTGAATGCATGGTTTTACATAATAAAGGTTATTTCTAATATTCAGTGATGGTTGTCCGTGTGCGTTTTATTCATCATGTTTGTGTTGTAATTATGTTTCGTCAATGCCTTTTAGCTTAGGTACATACTAGGTCTTCATAAGATCTGTAGACTTTGTTTATTCATCAGGTATTATGATGTGAAAGTGATATTGTATGGATATGACATCTTGCCTTGACAGTTTACTTTCACAATGTTTTCTGTTTTCTTGCAGTGTAATCTGTTTTCTCTCTGGGCTTGACGATTGTTTCTCTGGATGTGTCTGCTACAAGGTGGATTCGTTGGTTTCCTTGCTCTCCTGCTCGACCTCATCAAAGAAAGAGGAAGTGGAAGAGCCTGCTTAGGGGTTTTATACTACTGTTGCTTTGTTCTGATTGGTTGTTTTGAAAAGTTCTGTTAACTGTTTCTTTGCTGCTGGAGGTTTCAGTAAAGAAGGTAAAGCAAATATTCGCCTCCTGTCTTTAATAAAATTTAGATTATTCCCTCACCGAGGCTAGAATAATCCCTAATTCTGCAACAAACTAGGAAAAAAAATGTCAGTCAGAGATCTCTTTGGATCAAGAAGCTATTACCCCACAAATTAAAAATGATATTCATGAATATTGTGTTTTTGCAAGTATTCACCCAGTTGCTGTTTAAACATCTGTACAGACTCTGATAAAAACACCTGTTCAGGCAAAGAATTCCACATCCTCATTGTTATTACTGTAAAAAAACACTTTCCTTTGCCTTAGACTAAATCTCCTTTCTTCTACTCTAGATGGGTGACTGTGTGCTATGTATAGTCATGTTTATGAATAGATTTCCAGACAATGGTTTGTATTGGTCCGAATATAGTTGTATAATGCAAGCATATCCTCTCTGAATTGTCGTTTTTCTAAACTTAACAGATTTTAATTTGTTAACCTTTATTCATAACTAACTTTAGAACAGGTGTCTTACCTTTGATTTATAAAGAGGCTAATTTATATTTTAAACCTATAATTAATTCCCCTTTTTACATACATGTCAATACCTTACTGGTCTAAACAAGTGCTGATTGGCATTGCACATTGATGTCTAGTCTGTTTCCCTAACAATTGCCAAATCCTTCTCGTATGTTATTCCTAATTCACTACCATTTAGGGTATACGTTGCTTGTGCACTCTTTACCCCGTAGTGCATGACTTTGCATTTATCTACATTAAATCTGCCATTTGAGTGCTCAGTCCCCCAATCTATATAAATCTCTCTGTAACAAAGTAATATACTGCTCACAATGTATTTGTAGTTTGGTGTAACCTGCAAACACTGAAACATGACATCCTATGCCGAATTCAAGATTATTTATAAATATGTTAAATAGAAGCAGCCCCAGAACAGAGTCCTGAGGGGCAGCAATTACCACTCTTTTTTTTTCAATTTCAATGTTTTATTTTTTCAAGAGGCATAAAATAAGGGGGGTACAGAAAGAAAGAGGTGTCAGGGGTGTGTAACATGAGGTAGCAATTACCACTCTTGTCCAGCTTTAAAATTTACCATTCATGACAAGTTGAACTTTCCCTGTTTTAACCAATTTAACTGAACGCACTATGCTTTCCTTTGGTTCGGTACTTTCAGGTGCTGAACACCGACCACCCCCCTGGCTCAATAACTTCAAAGAAGTGATTAACTCAAGTGCTCTCTCAAGGTGACTGCCGTTCGTATAACCGAACACACATGCTCTAGTAAATGGCAGCCATCTTGTCTCCCGAACGCAGGCAGCGGTACCTGGTCCTCAAACTCATGGAACTATTTTCGGATACTCTACCGCGCAGTTCCCAGGAAAACTATACTGTTGCCTGCCCTTCTTACAAACCAGCCAGGAGAGCACTCTTTGGTGAAAAGACACTACCAACTGGGGGGAACATTCACTTCCTAAAAGCCAAAGGAAGCCTTTGGTTATATTCGCACAGAAACTCCGAACGTTGACTGAGCGATACCTCTTTCCTCCTGGAACTATTTTGGGCAACATCCACGTGGCCCAAACTTTACCCGATGGCGATTCCACTACGCTGGATGGATCTGAGTGTTATATGGACAACTTGAGTGCTGAGATCTGGGCTATTTGTGGATACAATACTTGTGGGTCCTACAAGTGTTATATGTATTTTGGGGTGTTTTACGTGTTGTACCTAGAGGTCCTGGGAGATAATTAGTTTAAGCAAAAGCAAACTCACTTATCTCCCAGACACAGAGATGTGGGTTGTGGGTGGGTTTACTGCTGTATGAATAGGGATCCCATGCTGGGAGTATTGTGTATAAACAGGCGACTTGCACGAGAATTGCTGAAATCTGACAAAGTCATTGTCCTCAAAGCAGAAGAAAAATTGGGGGGTCATTCCAGGAGCGAATTTTAGCTTTGGACACGAGAGATGGCTAGATAAGAAATAGATATATCCTTAAGTAGGATCAATACAAAATGTAGTTTAGCATCTTCAGGTGTTGTATTCTCCATACATATAATGGATGAAGTCATGATGCAAAAAAAAGATAGAAACATTTTGTTTTATCTACCAGTAGCTACAAGTGAGTCGTAGGGGGGTGTCCGTGCACCACGGGAGTGATAACATAGCATTGTAATCACTATCTACTACTTAGTGATGGGATGTAAAAAGTGCTTAATGTGCCTGCTGTGCTTGCCAAAAACAAGTGTTTCGAACATTAGGGGCACAGACTGAAGTGAAGGTGTGAATTTGTGGGGACCAATGTGTCCTGTCATACTTAAATATTTGCCTTGTGGGTCTATTGTTATCTGCTTTATGTTCAGTGGAGATGATTTATGCACCAATATGTAAATCCATTGTGTTCACCAGTAGGTTAGTTGACTAATAGTACCTATAAATGGGTTGGCTCCAGAGAGGAAAAGGTCTAGACTGGGCATAATGGGTAATTTTGCATGTGTCTGCATGTGTCTTTGTATGTGTGTGTTTGCATGTGTAAGTAGTGTATTTGAATGTTTGTATTTCTGTATATGTAATTTTGTCTTTGTATAAGAATGCATCTTTGTGTAAGTGATTATTGCTAGTTATTTATTTATATCGTTAGATGTGTGAATGTGTTTCTATGTATGTATATGTAAGTGAGCGCACTGCTAATCAGGCAAATGTTAGTGACAAGATGTGTATGTATCTATTAGTTAGTGGCTAATAAAATGTATACAGAAAGTTATGAATGTTATTTTGGTTATTTAGGTGTATGTGAGCAGCAAGTAAATGCATTGTAGTAGATTCAATATGTAGGGTGCCATTAGTATTTATCCAGGCAGCAACATGTATTGGGCCAGCCTTATACTGATGAAAGATAGACAGACAGACAGATAGATCATACAACCTATTTTCTATTTTGTGTTACTGATATTGGAATCATATTTTATTATGAAAATATATTTTCTATAAAATGC